GTGGAGTTGGTTACATCTTTGTTGAAGTACTGCCATACATAAGAATGTCGGACGTGTTTTGGAGCATTTTGCAGCACCTCGTTTATCTCCATTTTTTTCACGACTAGTCGACTAGGGCCTACAGCGCCGACTAGTGGTAAAGGTAGTCGACTAGTCGATTAGTTGGTGAAACCCCTACCACAGAGTACAGAGTAGTCTGCAGGAGTGCACACAGAGGTACGTGTGTGTGTGTGTGTGTGTGTGTGTGTGTGTGTGTGTGTGTGTGTGTGTGTGTGTGTGTGTGTGTGTGTGTGTGTGTGTGTGTGTGTGTGTGTGTGTGTGTGTGTGTGTGTGTGTGTGTGTGTGTGTGTGTGTGTGTGTGTGTGTGTGTGTGTGTGTGTGTGTGTGTGTGTGTGTGTGTGTGTGTGTGTGTGTGTGTGTGTGTGTGTGTGTGTGTGTGTGTGTGTGTGTGTGTGTGTGTGTGTGTGTGTGTGTGTGTGTGTGTGTGTGTGTGTGTGATTTATAGAGGACTGTTGCTGTGCAGACAAAGAGAGATAACACTTTCTTCTGACTGTTGTCTTGCAATGCTCTTTTGAGGAACAATAACTGTACTGTTCAAATGTGACCTTGGCAGGAAGCATCTGGGTGAACAATAAGGCGAGCAAGGAGACATGTACTAAAGACAGTTTTTATCATATAAGCGTTGCATTTGGTTTTACCATATAAAGTAATATAAGAAATTGCCACTACAGTTTCACTCTGTTGTTCCCAAAGCACTTGATTTATCTGTGCCAATCATTCCTAAACAACATAACATGGAAGTATAAAGAGAAAGCAATATGTCCTCCACATCTCCGAGCCAGAAGGAAGAGCATCGTTGATTCTGATCATCGTTGGGCCGCGGCTGCCAGGACTTCTTTTCACTCTTAGGTCACTTTGGGCAAAAGAGCAAAGAGTGGACCGCGCAGGTCTGCATGAGTCAACAAGGAGATGAAATGTTTGAAGAGCATGTTGTTCAGCCGGGCTTTGTTAGGTGTCCCTCCTTGTTGACCACACAGTAGAAAGTGCCTGGGAAATGTCAACAGTTCCCGACTCCCTGCTCTTATACTTGACGGGTTAGCAGTAAACAGTCAAAGTTGTTCAAACAGTTACCATCACCCTTTTCTTCTCTGCAGACATCAAGATGCTGTGAACTTTACCCAGAGTCTGGACACGCTGATGGTTCAGGGAAATCATCTCCCCCCGCACAAGAAAAGACTGATCTAACAAACAGGCATGGCTCAGAGAAAGTGCACAGGCCACATGAGAGGAGAGGATGTGAAACAAAACCCTCCAACAGGAAAGAGTTCTGCTTGATTTGTTACTTTATCATTTTTGATCTGCTGGAAAGCAGATATTATCTTAAAAATAACTATAGCTGTCTTTGTTCTCTGTGCAATAAGTCAACCATTCTGTCAATCTACTTATCTTATTTTGCTTTGTGCTGTTGTTTTATCAATATCTTACATGTATTTACTATCGCCTGTTCTTGTTGCTCTATCCACTTTGCTGCTGTAACAATGTTAAAGAGGACACATTCTGCTGATGTGCAGGTGTATATCAGTATGTAGTGTCTCTACTTTAAGAGTCCTCTCCTGCTGATGTTCAGGTGTATATCAGTATGTAGTGTCTCTACTTTAAAGAGTCCTCTCCTGCTGATGTTCAGGTGTATATCAGTATGTAGTGTCTCTACTTTAAAGAGTCCTCTCCTGCTTGTTTCAGGTGTATATCAGTATGTAGTGTCTCTACTTTAAAGAGTCCTCTCCTGCTGATGTTCAGGTGGTATATCAGTATGTAGTGTCCTCTACTTTAAAGAGTCCTCTCCTGCTGATGTTCAGGTGTATATCAGTATGTGTAGTGTCTCTACTTAAAGAGTCCTCTCCTGCTGATGTTCAGGTGTATATCAGTATGTAGTGTCTCTACTTTAAAGAGTCCTCTCCTGCTGATGTTCAGGTGTATATCAGTATGGTAGTGTCTCTACTTTAAGAGTCCTCTCCTGCTGATGTTCAGGTGTATATCAGATAGTAGTGTCTCTACTTTAAGAGTCCTCTCCTGCTGATGTTCAGGTGTATATCAGTATGTAGTGTCTCTACTTTAAAGAGTCCTCTCCTGCTGATGTTCAGGTGTATATTAGTATGTAGTGTCTCTACGTTAAAGAGTCCTCTCCTGCTGATTTCAGGTGGATATCAGTATTTAGTGTCTCTACTTTAAAGAGTCCTCTCCTGCTGATGTTCAGGTGTATATCAGATGTAGTGGTCTCTAACTTTAAGAGATTCCCTCTCCTGCTGATGTTCAGGTGTATATCAGTATGTAGTGTCTCTACTTTAAAGAGTCCTCTCCTGCTGATGTTCAGGTGTATATCAGTATGTAGTGTCTCTACTTTAAAGAGTCCTCTCCTGCTGATGTCAGGTGTATATCAGTATGTAGTGTCTCTACTTTAAAGAGTCCTCTCCTGCTGATTCAGGTGTATATCAGTATGTAGTGTCTCTACTTTAAAGAGTCCTCTCCTGCTGATGTCCAGGTGTATATCAGTATGTAGTGTCTCTACTTTAAAGAGTCCTCTCCTGCTGATGTCCAGGTGTATATCAGTATGTAGTTTCTCTACTTTAAAGAGTCCTCTCCTGCTGATGTCCAGGTGTATATCAGTATGTGTCTCTACTTTAAAGAGTCCTCTCCTGCTGATGTTCAGGTGTATATCAGTATGTAGTGTCTCTACTTTAAAGAGTCTCTCCTGCTGATGTTCAGGTGTATATCAGTATGTAGTGTCTCTACTTTAAAGAGTCCTCTCCTGCTGATGTCCAGGTGTATATCAGTATGTAGTGTCTCTACTTTAAAGAGTCCTCTCCTGCTGATGTTCAGGTGTATATCAGTATGTAGTGTCTCTACTTTAAAGAGTCCTCTCCTGCTGATGTTCAGGTGTATATCAGTATGTAGTGTCTCTACTTTAAAGAGTCCTCTCCTGCTGATGTTCAGGTGTATATCAGTATGTAGTGTCTCTACTTTAAAGAGTCCTCTCCTGCTGATATTCAGAATAAATATATAACACACTACAGGAAAGGGACATCCCCAAAGGCATGATTGGACCTGTTTAATATTCTAATATAAAAATGATTATTTAACAAACTCTACCTTCCCTTATGTGCTGAAATCACTGCACAATATTAGCTTTGGTTTAAAATCATATAGTAAGGAATAAACTGCAATAAGTGTGTTGAACACTCTCGTCCAACATTGAATAAATGCTTTGTTATTGCCAGAGTAAACCAGGCTATTTAATTTAAATGTGCAACCTCTTTTTGTGACAGATCTTTGCATGAAATTATAATTCTTCTGATTGATATTCCTATTGACAGCTAGTTTCTGTGTGAACATTATGAGATGGACAGCCAGCTAACAAGCTTTTTATACAAATATTTCAGATCAAAGCCAATCCAGTGGGGCTCCTGAAAGGGAGCAAGGGACACTATGCTCCCAAATATTAAGCCTTGACCCCCATCTTAAAATTGATATAATCAAAAAATGATCTGCATTGTCGGAGGCCTTTTTTCCTCATTATCATGTCAAATTGTACAGCTTTCCTTAGTTTTGAAATCAGAAAGATGACTATATTAGAGTATTAAGTGAAAATGACTATATTAAAGTGTTAAATGAATATATTAAGTGAATTACTCAAACTGCATTTGTATAGGAATGATTCTGTCCTATTGGCAGATAACTACTCTAACAGTGATATCTACAAGAGATGTAAATGTAACTATTTTCAATTGGTTAGAATTACATTTTGTGACAGTGTGGTGACACTCATTTTAATGAAGACACATTTGTGTGACAGAGCTGGAAACGGATTGACTTACATACTTGTTTGTGTTTACCTACAGTCATCACAGATGAGCCAAACAGAGTAGAGGATGAAGAAAGGAGAACAGGAGAAAGGGACACACAAGAAGGAGATACAACAGACAAGAATGACAATGGAGACAACAATGAACAGGAACACCAGAACAGACAAGAGTCAATGAGTAACATGACTGATTTAGGGACTGCAGATACAGGGCCAAGGCAAGTGAGACACCACTGCTTTCCATCCAGCATGTTTGGCCAGCAAAATAGATCATTTCAACCGCAAACAGCAAGAGATGAGGGAAGCAGCAAGAGATGAGGGATTATTTCCTCCTTTCATCCCTGTTTTCTGTTTAATCTGATTACTAACAACTTCTATTAATTTGACATTTTATGATTTAATTGGAAAATGAAGAGTTTTTAAATAATAAACACTTTTCTGATTCTTTGATTTATGGGTGTCGAGAGATGTATTCATATCTCTTAATGTTGTTCTCAAAGTGCACAAGAATGATGCTTTCAACTTCAACATTAAAAAAAAATCTTCCTGCAAGAGAAAAAGCATTTGAGCTCCATACTATATTCTGATCAGGCATTAGCTCCGCCTCCTCTTCTTTCTTTTTTTCAAGCTAAGGACCCAAAATCTGTATTTCTCTAACAGGGCTGCAAAAGAGGGGTTTGAGCAGTATGAGGCATGGCTACAATGGGTGATCTGTTTGGTATTTCACAGACATGTTTTGTATAGGTATGGCCCGACAATATATGTTTCAAATATAGCATGATAGGTCCACTTTAATTTGTACTTTTACTTACATCTTCATTTGGACTCTTTCCTGTTTCACTGGTATTACTGTTGCTGCTATAACACGTGAATTTCACTATGGGAATTATTAAAGGCGTGTCATTACGTATATATAAGCGTTATACAATTCTTGAAAAAAATACATTTGTCACCTTGTTGTATAATCACAATCATTAATTTTAAAACATAACCCATGGTCCACCAATATCCGCTGCAGGGACACCATGACTGGACTCGGCTTTTGGAAATATAAGCACTGATAGTGTGGTAGATATGACAACGGTCAGTGAAAACTAAATCTTATGATTAAATGTTCATGATATTCAAACTGAACAGCAACTTACACATGTAGCTAGTGCCTCCTTTCTTTATTCAATACAAAAACATCACTGTACTCATAGACTCTACCCACCAGTATTGATCACACACCTACCCAGCCGCCCACCCTCTACTTCAGCTGCTTTACAAACAAATACACACAGAAACCAGACACCACTAGATCTACAAAACTATAGCCCATTAGAAAACATCAACAGGCTATTTACAAAAACGCTTAGCAAACTAACATAATGAGTTAACACAGAACATCAAAAGGAATGCTTATGATCTCTTTATGGCGTCATCAATTTCTGAAATCTGGTCCTTCAGTTGGTTCCACTGTTCAGGATTCAGGGAGATACCTACGAGAAACAGAGGGTGAAACCGAGTCCTGCTCTGCAACACGTTCAAACATCAACAGGTCCAGAGGGGTGCTGCTTAAGTCAGATCACTGGGTTAGGTGTTTATAGTGGTGGAGGAATGCCTCCTTAAACCTGGAAATGAGTCAGCATTTCACCACTTCCTGTTCTATTGTCTCCGAGTCAACAATTGCTGTAATGTATATTTGTAGAGAAGCCTGAAATAAGGTGTGTGGTTAACACAAGCTGGAGAGATTTGAATGTTTGGTCCTACGAGATGAGATACGTCAGTGAATACGGTGACTAGTTTCTAAATCAGACTACTAATGCTGCGTTCACACCGGACGCGATGCGATGTTTGGGGGCGGCGCGATTACATGTAAAGTCAATGCAGAGACGCGAATTTGCTCCGACGGCGAGCATGAAGCGGTGGACGCGGCGCGAATCACGCGATTGAACGGTGCCGCGTCAAACGCGAAAACAATTTCTGACGTGCTACTGTTGATCAGTTGTAAAGATGGAAGAGATGATCATTGTGGCTGTCAACGGTATGATAAAACAAACTGCAAGCCGCGGTGACACTTGAGCGATTGGAACGCAGCATTAGACTAGAGCGATGCGATAGGAGCGATTAGAGCAAAGCGAATATTCGCATCGCGTCCGGTGTGAACGCAGCATAAGACTGTTCTGTCCTTGATGTGTGTTTTTGGTGTATATCTGTCGTGTATGTGTTTCTTGGCTGTGTTTTGGCACCACCTTGTGGTGGTTGGTTGACACTGCTGCTTTCTAGTGGTTTATTCGATTCCTGTTTCAAGGAGAACGAACTTGTTTGTTTCCGAGTGTGCTCCACATGTAGCTTGGGTTGTTTCATGAACAGACGTCTGCTCTCCATGAGCTGTGCTTCGTATTTCCCGCTGGTTCACGCATCGTCTGTGAGTGTTATTATCCGACAGGCTGTGGCTTCATGGGAATATGTTGTATGTAAAATGTTTATGTTTGTAGGAATGCAGTGAGTATTCCTTGTGGCTAAGCTACTAGCGGCTAGGCTGATTAGCTTCTCAGTTTGTGCGCCGTAGCTCATTGTGTGAAGTATTCTGTTTAGTTTAGCTCGTCAATAATAAACTGTTATGTCTGTATTGTCTTTACAGTTTCACCAAGTAAAGAGACTTCAGTAAAACTGACAACTGCGCTGGAGTTTTCTTTCAAACGGTTTAACTGGATGGATAGCAGTGCTAGTGAGACCCTTACAAAGACCATCACCTCATTTTAATGTATAGTTCATTATTTGTTTTTAATACAACAGATGTTTTCAATTCAGTGAAATAACAAACCATTTTTATTATTTAAAAATGTAATTAATTTGAATTTATGAAGCCATTTTGCTCTTTTTGTGTGTGTGAATTGTAAATTGTACTCTGTGTGTTATTTTATCCTATTGCGGTGCCAAATACACATTTACATTATATGTAAGTTTAATGGACAATTACGTTTTCTGAATCTGAATCAAACATTAGCCGCCTTTAGCTTAGCGGTGGTGATGAGGGTCCTGACTACAGTTTCCAAATCCGACTTGCCCATTGATGCATGTTTTAAGCAAAAATATGGTTTTATTCCCCTTGCAAAAGGTAGTTGTTGCTCTTAAAGAACTACTGGAAGTTTGTAGAGTTCTCTGGTCATTTGCCCATGCTGGCTTGAAGACGAGCCTTCAATTAATTCCATTAGTAAAACCTTCAAAGTATAACTGTACCACTAATCATGTTTATGCTCGGTCCTGAATCAAATTGAGTTCCTTAGTATATTTGAATCTGCTGCATGAAATGTAAAGTGTATGAGCTGTATTACGAACAGGTGTTGCAGAAGAAATAAACAGGTCAAATCAAAATATAAACATACTAATTTATACAACTAGTAAATGTATGTCCTCATTCCTCTCTTGCTTCATATGCAGCAACAGTGTTACTTTGTGATGCAATAGTAATGACCTATTGAAGGATGTAGGCAGCATGCAATCAGTCCATTTTGTGCAGCAGGAGAGCCAAATGACCCCCAGCGCCCCCTTCTGTGGAAACGAGCACAGAGCCCGATGCACAAAACTGTTGTGGGAGCTGTTATCTCTGAGAGTAGTTTTTCGCTTTGTCGCGGGCAGAGATGGGGTCGTTACTAAAAAAAAGTAATATATTACTTTAAAAAAAAGTAATATATTACACTACTTCGTTACTCTCTACATAAAGTAACTCGTTACTTTACTCGCAGGGCCGGCCCGCCCCTCCCTACAGGCAGATCATGCAGACTGCGACGCACCTACAGTGTAAGCGCGCCACAGTTTTGCCTCTGCGAGACTCCACTTGCACCCCCAATTACTATTGCATGAAGGAAGACATAACACAAGTCTTTCTTTATGCTCTCAAATAGGCTACCAGCCACACAACAAGCTAACAGTCTGTGAAACGTCAAGACACTAATTAATGAAACCAGTTCAAGACGCATTATTCTTATCATTCTTTATGAGCGCAGTAACGGTAAGGTATGTAATTACTTATTTAGTATTCCATAACTTAGTAACAGAGATGGTCAAACTAAAGTGGTAGAGACAGAATTCCTACAATGAAGCGGGACATTGAACTGTTCACCCGTGAGAGGGCGATCAACAAAAGAGAGCGAGCGCCCCGTTGAGGGAGTTTACAGATGAAAAGACTCAGCCATGTTTATGCAGCACTGCTGCACGTGGAGATGTGGTCTCGCAAGTCGCGCAGATTACATAGGCCTACATGTATATAAACCTGCGGCGGAAACCCCTCTAGTCTGTCAGTGAGTGTGATTATTTTATAAAAGTAACGAAGTAACGCGTGTCGGGGCAATGTTAGTAACTGTAGTGTGATTACTGAATTATAAAAGTAACGCGTTACACTACTCCGTTACCGACAACAGTGATATTATTACAGTAACGCGTTACTTTGTACCGCGTTACACCCAACTCTGGTCGCAAGCTAACGCAAACAAAAGCCTGGCTCTGTCAAACGTAATCAGTGGTACACCCCTCGTGTGTAGTTTCAGATAAATATGGACTGTGTGTGGATGAATGAAACCTTACCTTTCTTCCCCGGCTTCATCTCCCCATCCGAGTTTGTCCAGTACTCTCTGACGTCAATCAAGACTTTCCCTTTGAAGTCCCTGACGCTGACGTATCGCATCTTTCCAATCTGTAAGAAGCAAACTGACCGTCACAAAACGGGTTTTCTTCAGGAGTATAATTTATAGCTTTTAGAATACAACAAGTACTGAACAATACTTCTGTCCACACACAAACTGAAGGTAGAATATTGAAGGCAACAAGACACTGAGCCTATTATGAGATTTTTTTGTAATGGAGAATTGCAACCACATATGTGACCTGCTCTATCGAAATCAGTCGCATTGACCCGAAGACACATTTTGAGTTGTATACACTGTTGGAAAGAGGAGATTAGCTTTCTAAAGATATCAGGATTGTTGTTGTACTCCAAATATTAAGTTAATATGTCACATTATATAATGACTGTCACCATTTCTCTGGAATCCATCGATCTGATTGATTATGAGCGGCTAATAAATGATCAAAGTACTACGGAGGGAAAATATTTTTGTTTGGATTACTGGTCTGGGGGAAGCTCGCGAGTGTGTGTGTGTGTGTGTGTGTGTGTGTGTGTGTGTGTGTGTGTGTATACGTGTGTGTGTTTTTGCATTTGTGCGTATTGTGTTTGTTTCCCGGGGAAACCACTCAGGAGAAACACCGGCTGTTGTTATGCCTGCTGTGACATCAAGTTACTCCGTTCTCCGCTTGTAATTATGCCGAAGCTTCAAAGCTGTATTTATCATCTGAATTTGCCGAAACAAGTTTAATATTCTGAACGCCAAGACTTTGTTTAATTAAAATCAGATGAAAACAAACTGTAACGGACCCTGCCGTGTTATCTATGATTACTATACTCTTACATTCATAATGTCAGCGGAGGGAGGGGAAGCAGTGAGAGCTGTCATCTTCCCTTTGCTTCAAACATGTATTTATCGGGTGATGTTGGAAATAAAAGTGTCCTATTCTGAAAGCCAAGACTTTGTTTATTTAAAATCAAACAAAACACCTGAATCCCGAAAAACTATTTTTTTACGCAAATCCACGTTTATTTTGAAATGAGCCGTTGAGACTTCCGACTGATTTCGATAGAGCGGGTCACATATGTAGTATATTTATTGCAGGATATCACTCACTTTTCCCCTTTAATAACCCTGAACAATTTGTACATATTTTACTCTACCTCTGTACTAGGTTTAAATGTAACTTGCGCACTTGTATAATTTAAGTATATATGATTTTATGTTTGTATATTTTGTTTAGTAGTAGGTTGGACAGTAAATCAAACGTGTTCTTTATATTTCATATAGTTCTATCTGTTGAAACTCTATAGATATTTATGTTTCTACTGTTCATTACTGTCTGTCTATTTTATATTTGAATGCGTCACATTTTAAGTCAGTGTAATGCCGTAACTGCTGTAACTACTTCAGATCAATAAAAGTAGATCTAAACTAAATAAAATGTTATTCAATGAAGTATTGAAACTTCAGAAATGTAAAGTGTACACAGTATAGCACCTACATTTAAACTAGATCTGTGGAAATAAAAAAGTACAGAGATGCAATTAAACATTTTTGCGGAGTTTGAATGTTCCATGTAAGCAGAGCACCGGGACCCCCACCTGGAACATGTTGTCTCCAGCATCACTGCCGCCCTTGGAGGAGCCGCCTGGCTTGGAGCTCTCTCCACTCTTTACTTTCTTGGCTGGTTTCTCTGGTGCAATGGACTTCTTTCTTTTTGCCTAAAACAAAAAAGACCTACTTTTCAAATTCTTGCCCATCCTTTCTAATCCAGGGCTAACTGTATATGGATAGAAAAGGCAGAAGCTTTATCAGCAGATTTGGAGAAAGGAATGAATGACAAAAGCAGTAAAAGGAAGCACTGTCAACTATAATGGTCAACAATTGTATTTATTTCACTATTTCATGAAATTAATTCTTAGCTCGAGCCACCTTTACTCATAGTTGACTCCGCTCCCTCAGTATGTATGTCTCCAGGCTTGTAATCTGATTTTTTATTAAAAAAAAAAACTATTTTCTCAAGCTCGTAGTTTTCTAATAAGATCTGCTTTATGCGCTTCAGATGTAAGTGAGTAAAGCAAACACATAGCAGTTTATATTGAATACAAACCTTGGTTTCTGCTTCACTGTCAGAGTCACTTCCAGATGTGGAGGACAGTCTTTCCTTTGATTTAGGCATTCTGCTGACAGAAGAATCAACTATCAGACCTCTGTATACAGCAACGTATGCATGCACAGCTATATGTTATCTTACAAATATTCAACAGTCTATTTAGTTGTCACATCATACAATATCCCAATATGTGTAAGTTAAACAGAACACATTATGAAATGCAAGTCTCCACTGTGATCCTGTATCCATGGGCACTATGCAGGGCTCTCTCTCCAGCCAGTGTGGACAGGAGCAAAGATTACAGCGGCCAGTAACTCTGCATGTTGGCATGAGAACTGTGTTAGGATACACTACAAACAAATTGGAGTATTAGAACAGCAGGTACAATAATATGTGTGTCTGAACAGCGTGACTTATTACAGGAGCTGGGTCTTTAATAGGTGATGATATTCAGTGCAAAAACATCAGCAACAGACTGAACCATTTTGCAATGATCGTTTCCATTTGATTTATTAGTCATTATTAGATGTATACATTATTTACTAATTCAGAGAGCATACGTGTACATCCCCTCCACCTGGACACAAACGGTTTGACCCTGGACCTCTCACCACATGAACAGCTTCTTCCCCTCCGTTACGGCCCCATTAACAAGGCCCGGGACCCCCACTGACAGACTATTATCCACCCCAGAAAAACCGTATGCATGAATGCACATCAATGCAAACAACATGCTGTTATTTTTAAAAGTGTAAATCCTGCACATCATTTAGCACATCTCTGCTCCACACTACCTCTTTTTAAATCTGCACAGCTCTACACTTGAATATAGTATTTGTCATATTGTATTTCATTTGACTGTCCTCAGTTTCTTACATATTTATATTTTGTGTAATATTGACTTTCTCTATTATTATTAATTTGTTACAATAGTCTTTAAATGGCTTTTATAATAGTAATGTGTGTTGCTCTTTTCGTGTAAGGGTCTTTGAATGCAGCATTTACACCAACACAAATTCCTCGTCTGTGTAAAGCTACTCGGTAACACCGACTCTGATTCCGTTCAAATCAGAGTCGGTGGTTTCCAAAGGTAGCAGCATTAAGCAGGGTTGCCAACTCTCACGCATCTGGCGTGTGACACACGCTTTCACTCTCAATCTCACGCTCTCACGCTGCCCAAACTATTCTCACGCCAAAAAACAAGAATACCGAAGACTAGAAACGGGTTTTGAAAACTTTTGTCACGTAGTGATCGTCTTCTCAATAGAACATCTTTGATAATGTCTTCTGGCCAATCAGAATCAAGATAACGGCGTGGTGTTGTTGCAGGAAGTCCCGACGGAGAATACTTTTGCTGTAGTACATCTCTATACATCGATGCAACATTACGTGTTGATAGAAATCAACACGTAATGAAATAAGACCCCACGGTTTGATGATTGATAGGTGTGTGGGCTGTCTTTCATTTTGACACACAGAACAATGGGGGCTATCCACCCTTATCCACAATGTAAAGTAATTCACAGCCTCTTCTCTCTGTGAGGAGCAGCAGGTTCAGCTTTCAGAACAAAGTAACAAAAAACTAAAATGGCATTCATTTTTTTAAATATGTCGTGTAGTAATAGATGTATTTATTTCTCTTCTCAAGAGAGTACCAGAATGTGTATTTTATGTTAGTATTTCAAAAAATCTCCTGGGGGAGAATCCCCCCAGACCCCCCTGCAGGGGTTGGGTTTTCAGCATGTCAACTCTTTCACCTGTGGGGAAATTGCAGGATTGGCTCCAGGTCGCCCTTTTTATTTACTACAAGACAAATGTGCCTTTTTATTTCATACAGTTCAATTTGGATTGAGACAGGGAAATAATCTAAACCTCACGCGTGGCGTTTCACTGTCAAGGGGAGCGTGTATGTAATTACATTGCAAATACTGATTTGAGCCCCACCGCTGTATGGGTTAGCCCTACCATAGATTACCCAACAAAAATACTCTCTCGCAACTGCCGACCCGTATTGCGCATGCGCAGATCTAAGAACCAGTAGAAATGATAAAAAAGTAAAAGTCTGCTGCTTATTGTTCTACTAGGCCAAAATAGAGTGTGTTAATTAACATATTTGGCAGTTTGGAGTAAGTCTGTAGATTTGTGTGTGTGTGTTTCATCTATAGGCCTCTCACGATAATTAATTTTGTTGGATACATTTTCCCGGAAATTATTGCGATAAACGATAATATTGTCGGCACCGTTGTATGACCATTTTAGACCACTGACATAATCATAATATATAATAATAATTCAAATACATCCTTTAAAACTGCTAGTCACATCCTCATGTAAATGGAAATGTATCGAGGTCAATTAATTGCTTATCAGGCACACAATAAAACAGTGGAAACAAACATGTGTTTGACTTTCATTAGTGAATGAAACTTTGTGCCCTTTATAGTCTGTGTCCAATATTGTGTATTTGTATATATTGTATATATATCCTATATATATGCTAAGGTCCCGCTGCTGACACGATAGCAGTCATTTCGTGCGCATATGTGTAATTAAACCCATGATATCAAAATCTCACTCCAGCCAGGTACCCAAAGTTAGCAACCCTGCATTAATTAAGAAAAATATAAGTAAATTCAATCTAATAAATGATATTCTATGAAACGGATAAGATTGTAAATAATGTTTATAAAGCAGCGGGGGGGATATGTTATCATCCAGATTGTAAGAGAGGGAATAATGAATTTGACCAAACGACCAATCTCCGCCATTAGTTCCGTATATTGTGGTCACGGTGTCATTAGTGTATTAGTGAGGCGTTTTAGCCCTTTAGAATGCATGTCTCTGAATTCTTTCACGTTTGAATTCCAGAGCCTAACGTGCAGTAGCGTCCCGCCCAGCGTTAGCTACTACCCTGAGACCTAAATGCACCATATTAAATTCCCCATGAATGCACCATAATGATACCAGCTAATAAGCTACAAGCTATCTGGATAGCTCTGTCACGGTGGCTAGCGTTAGCAGAGCTGAACCCCAGCACATGAACTCTGCCTGCGTGTTTAAGATAAATGGACCTTCTTTAACTAGTGCACTGTAACAGTTAATATGCTGCGGAACACCGACTTGCTCTATTGAACCAACCATATTTGCACTGACACGTTTTAGCATATTATTTAGAAACTGTCGATGCTTACATGATGTGATGTTGCTGAGCGGATGTCTTGACAGGAAGCGGAAGCTCTATGATTTTCCGGAGCGCGGGCTGCCTAAAAAGAAGCTTCGCGAGGGTTGGGTTACATTTGTAATACAATGTGATTACCAAATTGATAAATTACCTGTTAATGTATCAACTTTTCATAAAAAGCTCTTCTTACCTGGAAACACATTTTGACCAGCAGTTACTGCATTAGAACAACTAGGATCATGGGCGCGGGAAGGGGGGTGCTAAGGGCGCTGCAGCACCCCCTAGCGGCAGGCAGGCGGTGCGGAGCTCCCCTGTCTGAATTATTATTTGACGGTTATTGCTGCTCCCGCAGCACGTAATACTACAGTGCCTCACAGTGGTACAATAACAGTATTACATCCCTATTACAGAATAGACACAATCTCTAGTCCATAGGCTACAATAACTGAGGACATATGTAAACATTTCCCTTAACACCCCCACTTGTTCTCAGGTTGCTGTACTCCAAAAATGTAAACAAAAAGAAAATGTGGACCTCCTCATACATTTTTAAACTCCAAAAACGATTCCTGCAAACTTCTTCAGTTTCAGCTTAGTTACAGGTTTTGTCATTATGTCTGCCACCATCTCTTCAGTAGGGCAGTACACCAGAGTTAGTTTCCCATCCTCTACAGTTGATCTTATGAAGTGGTACTTTAAGTCCACGTACTTACACCTCTGTCTACTTACAGGGTTTTTGGCTAGGGCAATTGTTCCCTGGTTGTCCTCATACACTACTGTTTGTGTATATTTGTAATCATCGATACCCTCCAGTAACTGGTCTAGATATATACACTCTTGTATAGTTGAGGCTAGAGCCATGTATTCCGCCTCACAGGTGGAAAGTGCCACTGTAGGCTGCTTCTTACTCTTCCATGAGACTAAAGAGCTGTTCTTACTGAGGCTTACACAGTATCCTGTGGTACTGCGCCTGTCGGTGACATCAGCTGCCCAGTCGGCATCACTGTAGGCTAGTAAGCCTAGCTTCTCACTATCGTTTCTTCTGAAACACAACTCTTTCTCTATAGTGACTCTAAGGTATCTTAACACATGTTTCACAGTTACCCACTGTTCCTCTGTAGGCTCAGCAAAATATTGTGATAGTTTGCTCACAACAAAACTTAAATCTGGCCTTGTACATGTGGTCAGGTATATAAGGCTGCCTACCGCCTCTCTGTACATCCTGACATCATCCATTTTCACTGCATTTTCTGTATAGTCAAGTTTTTGATCACAGGGTGTTTCTCTGGGTTTACAGTTTTGCATGTTAAACCTCTCCAGTATCTTGTTAACATATTTTTCCTGTGACATCTTTACACATCCATCCGACTGTTTGAAATCGATACCCAGAAAATGTTTTAGGCTGCCTAAATCTTTCATCTTAAATTTGGCAGAGAGCATCTCTTTCACTTCCTTCATTATTTTGTCATTGCTAGCTGCAATGATCAGATCATCGACCCAGATGATTATTATCACCTTTCCACCTTCGGTCTCTTTGGCATAGACACAGTGGTCTGCTGGGTTCTGCGCAAAATCGTCTTCAGTTAAACAATCGTGCAAAATCCTGTTCCAATTTCTACCGGATTGTTTTAGACCATAAAGAGATTTTTCTAGCTTACACACTAGACCTTCCCCTCTTTCTTCATAACCCTCTTCGATATAGATTTCATAATCTATAGGAGCGTGTAAGTACGCTGATTTTACATCCATCTGATGCAGTAGCAAGTCCTCCTGTGCTGCTTTCTGTAACAACACTCTTACACTCGTCAAGCTGGCCGTGGGGGAAAAAGTCTCTCCAGTCAATCCCCATCCTCTGGCTATAGCCTTTGGCCACAAACCTTGCTTTGTACTTGTCCATTCCCTCAATATCACTTTTGATAGAGTAAACCCATTGTCTTTTTGCCTTTTGGCAGATTTGTCAGGGTAAATGTGTTGTTGTCATTTAATGATTTGATTTCGTCATCCATGGCTTTGACCCACTCTCTTGCGTCAGTTGACGTCATAGCCTCCTTAAATGTCTGTGGAATGCCACATACTGCTCTGTAGCAGTAGTCTACTGTAGTATGAATCCCATCACTATCACTGTCTTCAGTTACAAAGTCCTTTAAGTGACTTGGTTTCCTTCTGTCTCTAGTCGGGTATCTCCCACCCTCAGATTCATCATCTGTCCCACTTGGTTGTGTTTGGCTACTGTCGTCAGACATAGTTACTTTGTCACTTTGTGCACTAGTCTCTTTAGCATTCTCTGTGCTCTCATGTATCTCCTGTGTGACCCTGCTAGCCCTAGGCTGCCTCACACTGTATTTGTCATCATTTGGGTCTGACCCAAATGTCTGTGTCTGTTTCTCCACAGTTACCTTGTTTACAAACTTGACTAGCCTGTGCTTTTGTACTTTCTCAGTATCTGGATGATAGACCAAATACGCGGGGCTGTTCTTGTCATAACCCACAAAACGCCCCTGATCACACCTGGAATCAAGTTTTCCTTTGTCCTGTTTGTACGTGTAACATACAGACCCAAACTTCTGCATTGTAGAGACGTTAGGCTTTTTATCTGTCAGCATCTGGTAAGGGGTTTGTCCTGTACGCCTGTTAAAACATCTGTTACGTACTATGGCTGCTGTTTGGACTGCGTAGTGTTATGGAAATCTAAAAACCCCAATACTGTAGAGTACAAGTCAGAGTGATTAAAACAAATAAATGGTGAATCAGACAGAGTTGTCTTTCTGGTGATGTTTATTCGAGGCCTCAAACAAACATTAGATACAATAAGATATAGACACAGGTCTCACAGAGTATAAAATATGTCTGCGCGAGTGTGCGCAGTTCAATATGGCAGCAAGGCTTATATTGCAGAAATGGGTGAGAAGGTAAGAAATCTGTCTTCACACGGTCACATTGTTATTAGACACATGTCCTTGAGCTGTAGATCTCAGGAAAGGCAAGTTCTCGTGTGACTATGTGTGAGTCCATTCATAATAGCAGCTGTGGCCTTGAAGTAGAGTAGATAGAGGCAAACAGCACATCTAACCAAATGAGAAGCATTTGTTTACTTTGAACATATAAAGATATCATAACAATGTCCACTACAGTAGTTCCATAACTGTTTTGGTAGCTGACTTTCAGTTAGCATACACCTACCCATCTCAAAAAGAGTACACCAGCTTCTCTCAGCTGTACCGTTCTGGTGGGGTGAGTACGGGGCTGAAGTCTCATGTCTTATCCTATTTTTCCTTAACAACGTTTGGAAATCCCTGCATGTGAACTCTGTGCCGTTGTCTGACCTTATACACTTCACTTTCCCGTATGGGGCTGTATCTGCTAGGAATTTTTTCGTTGCCTGTCCCGTGTCACTTTTAGTTTTTAGAAAATATACAAATATTGCACCCGAGTAGTCATCAGTGAATGACTGTACACAGGGTCGGCGTCATGGGGGGTCATTCGCGGGCCATGCCCCCCCCCCCAAATGAGTCACTGTGCCCCCCCCAACGCAGGGTTGGCAAGCCTTGCCACTTTGCCGTTTTTTTCTTTTTTTAATCATATAATTGAAAACGTTTCCACTAAAGTTTTTTTGTGTGAAATACATCAGAAATAAATAATACAAATATAAAACACAGCCTGAGGTGTGCTCACTGCTGCTCTCTGATTGGTGTGTTGCTTGACCAATGACCCCCGACCTTTTTTTTGTTATCATTACGTGGCTGTGTGTTTAGATGAAAGCCCAGTGGCGATCTGTTCATCTGTTATACTGATTATACAGTAAAGCCATCGAAAATAATATGATATACAGTACAGTACAAGTACATGCAGGGGCGGATCTAGACAAATATTCATGGGGTGGCAAGAGGGTGGCAGGAGATTTTGAGGGGTGGCATCCCCTGACAGAAGTATATGCTGATTTAAATCGCAATCATATCAATCAATTAGGGGTGTAACGGTACACGTACCCGTACTGAAATTATTCGGTACGGGCCCTTCGGTTCGCTACACGTGTGTACCGAACGAATATAGCGTTAAACGTAAAAATATTGAGAACATGAACAACTTTCTGGAAGTAATCTCAGGTATATATCATAGAGCGACCAAGTAATTTCATTGGACGAGAGGCATACTATGAGAGCTGGTCACAGGGATGCGTTCAAATGTAGTCAGTAATTTGAGGAACTGTCGAAATGGCGAACGCAGATAAAGTTGAGCTGAAAATCCTACAGCATCATTGAAGTCTCCGGTTTGGGAACATTTTGGTTTCACAGTTACGTACAAGGATGACGGACAAAGACAGGTGGACCGAACCAAAGCTGTTTGTCGGTATTGTTCAACTAACATTGGTTACGCGGCTGGCAATACATCACACTCATTTGAAAAGGCATCACCCGAATGTGAATATCACCGGTACCAAAAGAAAAAAGACTGAAGTGCAAACCCAACTCCCACAAGCATGTAAGCCTCCACCACTTGCAAAGAGTTCAGACCGAGCCAAAGCTATTACAAACGCCAAATATCCTTATGTTGCCATGCTAGCAAAGCGCTACCTGGCTGTATCTGCTACCTCTGTCCCTAGAGAGGGTGTTCTCCACAGCAGGAGACATTGTTAGTGCCAGCAGATCTGCCATTTCAGCAAGCAATGTGGACAAGTTAATCTTTCTTTAAACAACATGAAAATACAATGACAAGCAAGTCCTAATGTCAAGCTGGCTGCTTAGGTACTAGTACAGTTCAAATACAGATTATTTCAGTTCATCGAAATGCTGCACCTTAATGTTTATTTTACTATATGTTGTATTTATTTGAATACATTAGTCACAGTTTAATAATAATAAAAAAAATGTTTTTAATGTTTTGTGATCATTTTTTCTGCTGTACCGAAAACGTACCGAACCGAACCGTGACCTACAAACGAGGTACGTACCGAACCGAAATGTTTGTGAACCGTTACACCCCTACAATCAATGTTAACTTGGAAAGCCACAATATTAATATTTTAACTCAATCACATAGGTGATATTATTGTGGCACATCAGTAAAGCCTTACATATAAGGTGGCAGATGTAATT